CCGTCGGTGAGTCAACTTGTCAGCTCAACCAAATACCTCTCAATACAACGGATGCAATGGCGGCCTCGGACGCTCACGCATTAGGGCCCTGGCGTGTTTATGGCTGGTCCGCTGGCGATGAGACCAAACTCAATCGCAGCGCTAAGGCGTCCCAGATGTACATACTCACAGTTGCATGGAATCTACATCCTACCTTATGCGCAAAACGTCACATCTCTTACAACATCACGTAGTCTCTAGCTGAGAAAAAAAATTGACCAAACAAGTCAGAAGCATCCTATGCTTCTGTCCTTGACCTTTTGTTTCCTATGGACTGCCCGATATACAAATGCTCTACTCCAGCCTGTTTTTTTTTAACGGGAAAGGCGGATCCCAAGAAATCAATCGACCTTCCCTCGTGGATTGTCATACAAGTACAGAGTAACCGCTGCCGAGCCCATGCGGTGTTACCATATGCAAAACAAGAATGACGCCAGCGTGAGAATAAGACATCTATGATACATTCATCCGTGTGACTGTGATTCGTAAAGACGTTATCGGTAACTGCCCGACTGAGCAGCCGTTGATGAATTCGTTATCGTGCTGTCGCGATTCGGTCTGCGGCTAATGCTGCTAGCCCGGTTCAGCAACGAAGTGTGACTGAGAGAAAAGTGTCGCGGCTGCGCAACAACCTGTTGCGGCCGTTCTTCGGTGACTTTCTCGGCCGACGAAGGTTGTTCGCGTTCTGGAGTTCTTTCCAGATATCGGCGCGTCGCCAGCGATGGTGTGGAAGGCGCAACCAGCCGAGAAGTGATAGAGGAAGCTCCGAACCGTCTGCGAGGCAGGGCAGAAGAAGCTGGTGATGAGAGTTCGTTGGAGTTGGTGTTTGAGAGGTAGGTATGAGAGACTGCGCGGGCCGGTGTGGTGAGCTCTGTAGCAGCGCGGGACGGGGCGCGAAATCTAGATTCATCTTCGTCTTCGCCGCCCACAGTTCCCCTGCGTGAGCGAAGAAGTGACGTTTGACGTCCATTCTCGCGGCCTGCTGCTTCGCGTGAATCCTCCGGCTCCTCTGTGCCTGCTCGTCGGGTCCTCAGCATGGAAGACCTGCGGCCATCCTCAGGCTCTTCGGTAACAGCACGGCGCGACCGGCCAATGAACAAGGATGACTTTCGGTTCGCCATTTTGCTGCTGTCGCCGGGGGTGCTAGGAATGGTGCCGGGTGGAAGGGCAAACCTGGGACTGGGGAGCGAAACCGGGTTAAGCATGGTGTTGCGCCTCTCTTCGTATTTTGAGAGGGCCCTCGGGCTCGTGACCGTGGTAGCATTGGCCTTCGGGAGAGTCTGCTGCTCGGCGGACGTTATGCTAGGACGTCGCTGGCCAGATGATCCGCCGGTGAAGGTCTTGTTGATAGTTGGTGTGACTGGTGTCGTCGTTTCCTTTGGTGTAGGAACGTTGACTTGGAGAGTCTTGTTGCCAGCCGCTTCTTCGCTCAATGCCAGGACTAACTCTGTAAGGCTTCGGCAGATGCTGTCAGCCTTGCGTCGCAATTGACGATCCGTCAGGCTGGTGCCGACGCCAATTGTGCTGGCACCGCTGGAGATGGGCCCGGGCTGACCTGCCGTCCCCATCATGTTGGCCAGTGCCAGGGCGTCTGTTGCTGCCACCTCGAGTGCCTTGGCCACCTCTTCACTAAGGAATGGCTTGGACTTATTGACAGCAGAAAGAAGGATGGGTTGCTGGACCTCGCGTTGTGAAGACGTCGTGCTAATGGCGTCGGTGTGGGGATGCTGGCTTTCGGAAGCTCGTTTCGGCGAGGTGGACATGGTCGTGTTGGTTGCGGTCGGCGGGCGATCGTCTGAGGCTCTTGACATTGCGGCGCCCGACGTCTTGGGTAACTTGCCGGTCAATTCCAGGCGATGGATACGGGACTTGAGATCATCCAATTCATCCCACACTGTCGACGGTGCGTTTGTCGATGCTGTCGCCGTCGATTCGGTTCCCTCGACTGTCGTTGCTGCGTCTTGGTGCGTTTCGGTGCGTGGTGCTTCTATCGATTTAGGAACCAATGGCGAAGAGTTATACGTACGCGTTTGGCCATATGACAAGTTGGATTGTCTGTACGCCGAGCTGCGCGCAGAGTAGCCGGTGTTGCTGTCTGTCAAAGAAGGCCTTCTCCGTGCATATGGAGAGTTCTCTCCCATCGGATCCTGAAAGGTAAAGGACCGGGGTGTGTTGACGGTTGAGCGAGACGAAGATTGATGGAATGTCTTTACGCGACCAAGGTCTTCGCCGGGATGCGCGGATGAAGGCCGGTCTCGGGTCAAAGGCGATCGGTACGCCAACGCGCGAGCCATTGGGTCAGCAGCGCTGTCGTCCTCTGACGATTGGCGTATTCTCTTCTTGGAGGTTTCTTGTTGATCGGACAGACGGCGACTGATTTGGGGTGGGGATACAGGATGATGATAAGACAATGGAACAGCAGCGGAGAGGGGTCGGCGATGCGAAGATCTTGCGACACGGGCCTGTTGTTCATCGTCAGTAAGCTCACGTTCATCCATGGCGAAACTCTATCAACATATCCAGTACGCCAGGATTAGCGTCACCGGAGCGTGGGAAATGAAGCAGCGCTAGAGAGGTGGTGGACTATCATATCCAAAAGGGGAATTTGAATAGGAAAATGTGGGAAGAGCGGGAAGATCAAGCAAAAAGATACGGGAAGACGGCTTGATATCGTGGCGAACAGACGCCAGCCATCGCAGGGCACGGCCGTTTGCATCGCGCTAACATATTTCCCGAAACAACAACGCAAACCCATGAAAGATGGCTAAACTTACTATGGTACTTGGCTGCTCCGCTGGCGCAACCTCTTTAGAGCCACGGCGCGTTGGTTCCTGCCTGGCGATTTTCATAAAGACGTCACCGGTCGTGTCGTCGGCGTCGGCTGACAACGGCGGTGTCATTTGCGAATAGTCATCGTCGCGTCGTCCTTCAAGGGCGCGCAGAGTGCGGTCGCGCTGATTGGAGTCGGCGTAGTCGTCGCCAAAGTCAAAAGAGCGCATGGTGGAGGTGCTACTGTCAAGTCCCAGACTTCGACGAGACCCGGATGAGCGAAAGGAACGGATGGGAGCCACGCGCACCGAGGTGGTCGGGGTGCTGGCGGTGGTGGCTTTGAAGGATACGGGGGGTCGCGAGGCTATCGACTTTCGTTTTTCATCTGTCGGGCTTGCGTTCTCCAAAGTCTTTGGCAGTATCAGCTCACGCTGTCCCTTGGCCCAGTCCTTTGTTGTTTTGTCGCCTTGGGGTTGAGCGACGTCGTCGGGAGTGTCGGGGGCTTGCGAGTGATCGGTATCTGCGGATGGTGACTCGCTATCGGTCGCATTCGACTCGCGGGATCGGTATGCAGCCGCACGTCGAGTTTGCAGTCGGGAGAGAGGGGCAGCAGGTGTCTTGAGATCTGCGACGTTGCTGTGGGATGAGATGGACTGCACGATGACGGGGCGGTCGGGATAAGACGCGGGCCGTCTTGGTGAGGTGGCTGAAGCTGCAGGGGTGGACTGGGTAGCAACCTGATACGTTGATGCGCGGGAACGAGGGCTGAGTTTTGGAGGCGACTCGGGCAGTTCGTGGATAGGACTCGAAATCCGAGGTGAGAGCTGGGACAATTGGCGATGGGAGGGACGCCGATCGTGTAGTCGAAGTGAAGTCGAGTGGGTGTTTTGGGGGGGGATGTTGTTTTCCGGGTCGACGTTGTGTTGTTGTGGCTGCTGGTGGTGCAGCTGCAAGTCTGACGTTGTTGGCAGGGTGGTGGGAGAGGCGGTGTCAGTGTCGGTGGTTATGCCAATGCCAATGTCAGTGTCAGTGAGGGCGCCTGTGTCGGTGAAAGTGATTGTGTCGGTGGCAGTGCCAATCGCAGGTGCCGAGTGAAATTCGTTGGATGTTGGAGTCGATTTAGGCGAGACAGGCGACGGCGGGATGTGGTGCAGTAGTGAGGGGAGCACTAGGCGTGGGGATTGGTATTGCTTGTGTAAGTCGGCGAATCGAAAAGCGGGAAGCTTGGACGAGTTGTGGCTCAGCCGATGTGCGTGATAAGGTGAAGAAGGTGAATTTGCTGAAGATGTCGCAGAAAGTGAGGGAGTATGGAATGCAACAGCACTTTGCGAAGAGAATGAGGATGAAGGAGACGCGGACGCGGACGCGGATGCGGATACCGTAGCAGAAGAGAGCTGTGTGGGATTCAGAGTCGGGGCATGGCCCGCAGCTTCGAAACCACCATCTGCTGGTACTGGTGCTGCTGTTGCGGGTGCGGGTGCGGGTGCTGGTGCTGGCGGTGCTGCTGTGGCCGTGGCCATGTTCGCGTCGGGGGGGGGGGGGCTGTTAGGGGTCGGGTGGTGCCTCTGCTCTCTCTCAGTCAGGAAATCCAGGTTCGGGGTCCGCTTTCAATTCGCTTCGGTCGCTGCGCCTGCGAGTCTGGCCGGGCTCCTTTGTTTTTCTTCCCCTTCTTTCTTTTTCGTCCTCGCCCTCTTTTTTTTTTTTCGTCAGTTTCCCTGGGCCGGGGGTGAGCTCTTTGCGCTGTTTGTCTCTGACTGACCCCAGTCCACCAGAGTCGAGGGCCAGTTCCTATGGGAATCCACCCCGTCCAATGAGCAACCGGTCGCGTTCTGTGGCTCACGGGTCGATTAGTGGTGTGTGCACGCCTGCAGGCGTTTGTTTGCTGATAAGCGTTATCGTTATTTCTTTTTTTTCGTCTCCCAACGGGTACTCTTTTTTGTGGTTCTGCGATGCTGCAGATTTTGTGACTCTGGGATGTTCGTTGTTGCTGTCCCCTCTGGGCCTCTAGCGGTTCGTGCGTGTGTCTAATTTCCAGATGTCGAAGCAACCTTTCTCCCCTGCCACGTCTTGCTGGTTCTCCTCCTGGTGAAGTCGTGTGTAGGTAGTTTCGCGGGCAGTATGAGTAGATCGTTGCTCTCGTTAATTAGCAATTAGCAGTTGATGTACTACAATGTGTATGTTCCGATCGTCCATCAGGTGTTCGTTCGGATGATTTGGATGGGCGTATGCACGTCGGCGTCTAGCGGGAAGTGTCTCACTGGCTCGTCGGGTGATACGTGGGAGTAGTGTGCGAGTGTGCGAATTAGCGGCGTGGGAGCTTTGCGGTATTCGTGAGTTGCAAGTGGGAGAGCAGATGCATGCGTGTGCGTGTGCGTGTGCGTGTGCGTGTGTTTTATTAGAAGTTGTCGCTGTTGTCGAAGAGTAGGAAATCCAAGGAGTGTTTGGTGGTGGACGCCCGGCGTTCTCGATGCGATGGACAACTCAGTTGTGTGTGGGAAAGGGTGGAATTGGACGAAAATGAGTGAGCGATGGGGCTGGTGGCAGAAGGAGCGGAGGAGGCAGATGGCAGACGGCAGAGAGCGTTGTGAGAGCGGGAGCTCGAAATTAGTATTAGAATCGGCAGGAAGGAGCGTCGTGAACAAGTCCAGTGCGAATGCGGATCGAGGAAGCAGGAAGGAGGGGTGTGAAAGCAACGGCTTCCTCGCCTGGTGTCTTGTTTTCTGGTGTGTGGTGTGTGGTTTTTGCCTCAAAAGGTTAAGTCTGGCCCAATCCAGACAGTCGGATAGACAAATGGGAGAAGGAAAGTTGCAGTCGATTCGGGGACTGGACGGGACAAGAAGAAGATGGGACAGAAGCTAAAAAAGGGCAAAGGTAAAAATGGAAGTCAGATCAGAAAGAAAGAGGAAGTTTGGTCATGGATCGTCGTCTACCTTACCTGACTGACTACATGTTTTTCCCACTCACACCTCCTTCCTGCTCCTCTTCTTCCTTTGCTCTTTCTGTCGTCTTCTCTGCCTTCTGCGGGGAGAGAGAGAAACAGACCCGGCAAAGCAAGGTACCTCAGGTATCTCGTCGGCCACCGCAACTTTACTTTACTTTACCTTACCTTACCATCTGGCATCATCCAGTACCTGGTATCCAGGTTGCGTGCTCCAGATACCCGTCTGTACGAACGGGTATGGATGTGGATATGGATGCCTCATCCCATCACTTTCAACCTGCAGCTACAAGACCTGAACAGCTCGGACCTCTTCTCAAGTCCCTCCGGTACCTCTACCCGTACACTGGTATCCCACTCTACTGGAAACCTCAACTGGCCTGTGGATAATGCTGCGTACCTTGAGTACTTACAAATACGTATTTGTTCGTCCGTTCCCATTTGATCATGTCCCTTCTGTTCTTGCCGACTGGGTGACAATATTCTTCGGGGGCCTGCCATTTACGACAGATTCTTGCGGAAAGAGTGAACAGCTAAGACCGGAACCTCCCGTTTAACGATACATCTATTCGCACCTCATTACAGTCACACCTCTTCAAGATGCAAAGCAAAGCGTGTTTCGTACTTCGATCTAGCATAGCAGATACTACCGCTCATTTGTAACTCTGTTCAACCTCGTCTCAAACTTTCTGCTTCTAGATGCTACGGATACTACCCTCTCGAAGACCTGGCATACAGCAAGTACAGCACATTTTACCTCGTCACAATTCCACGCCTGCCCCGGTTCCTGAGTCCTGAGTCCTGACTGATGCCCATGTGCTTCAGGCTTCAGCCGTGATCCTCGCCTGACGACCCCGGCCACCAAAAGCGACATACATATCAACCGCATCCACAATGCACCACTTCAACGCGGCAGACAACCATCCAGAAGCCGCCAGCAGATGGGTTTCGTGGATCCCTATGGCGGGCCGTATGCGCTCCCGCCACCTCTCCGGTAAACCTGTCCCTCTGATTTCGTTGCCGAGCAGTGAAATGGGTCGAGGCACCAATCATCAACACACCGCCCTCTTCCCTCACTCCGCTTAACCTCGACATCCACCAGCCATAGATTTTGTTTATAGACCCATGGACAGGCACTGTCAGGAGTACGGAATACTGGCACCATATTTCTACTTCACGGCGTACTCCGTACGTATGATCCAGATCTTCAGCCGCGACTGCTTCGACTGCTTCGACTGCTTCTCATCATCTCTAAAGATATCGTATGCTCGAAACCTGGGTTCTCCCTCTCTCTCCCTCTCACAGGTACGGATACCAGACAGACCAAAGGCCCCGAGTCCCGCCGTTGAGAAAACAAAAAGGCCAAGACCATTTTGGTGGAGATGCCGCAGGGAAGTCCAGCACCTTAATCAGGACAAATGAGCTGTGAGGACAGGGATTTGCGGCTCTCGGGCAACAAGCCTCCAGGGGTCTTTGATGTCACTCACAGCTCGACCGTTCGAGGTGGCTGGTTGGCCCAGCTGAAATAGGGGATGGCTCCTCGACCGGTTCCAAGCCAGCCTCTAGCTTCGGTCAAACCATCGCTGACGGTCGTCTTAGCGTTTCTCAACTTCAGCTACAAACCAAGCCAAAGAGGTCACGGGCTTTGGACTCGTGCCTGTCTCAAACATGGAACATCGATGCTGCAGCGCTGCTACTCTGTCCGTACTGCTCCAAGATTCCGAGTCGCAGAATCTGGATCCTGTCTACTCCGTACCAATCTTTGTATAAGAGCAGGAGAAAACACTCGCAATAGAGAGCTGAGTATAACGCTGGCAGAATTTGCAAACCCTTCTCAACGGCCGGCAAGATAGGGGGATCGAGATAGGTAATTTGTGCCAAATTCGATCGAAAGAACATAGGCATTCCGAGGCATGAGGCGGCACTCCACTCGTTTATGGCTAGGTATACAAAGAATAGTCACATCGGGCTCATCTCTTGAGATGATCTACCCGTATGAACAGACAACAGACGAAACCTCGCTGCCAAATCTTTTGGATTCACACTCGGACTCGTGGGGGCACGACGGCTGCAAATGCAGACGTCTGATTGACAGCTGCCTGCCAAAGGGTGCCTCTGTCATTTTGCGCTCAGTGCTCCCCAACTAATTTCTGTTTCCTCCAAGCTAGTCGGCACCAATGCAACATGGGACGAGGCTCGAGCTCCTCCTCGCAATCCACCTGCGACGGCGCCGACCTGTCACTTTGCAGTTTTCCACTTCCTCGAGATCCGAGTCCTCGACTCCTCGCCACGGCAGAGAAATGACATTACGGAATGCAGACCCCCGGATATGCAGTCACAAGGGGTCTGCAGGTCATCACCAGTGACTTGACTCCCAACATGCAGGAGGAGCGAAACACCCGCCACTGTGTTATCCGCGCCAACGCGCAGCCAGTTTTATTCTTTGTGCTACCACTCGAGTGCTTGCAGCCTCTTTGACGGCCTTTCTTCTTGATTAATTGTTGCTGCTGGGGAGGTGTTCAAATGGCATAGTTGGCTTCCACGCAAAGCAAACATGGATTCAACCTGGGTGATATTTGCTGTCCCTATGAGATGGAGACGCTAGCGATGCCGATCACCGTCAAACCGGGGCTCGACGACCAGGATACTAGAATGAGACTTCGATGAGGTGCAGAATTGCCAGCCACGCAAAGCTCAAGAAGGAAACGCAATACCGCTCGCCCGTTCGTATATCTGAACTGGATACGGATACAGCTGGGGCGATCAACTAATTTCCTAGGTTCCAGAACTTAGAAGGACTGAGTCGTGTGAAAGATCGGCTGCAATATCACATTCTAGAGAAAGTCGGTTTCCTGTGGCTCCAAAGCCACATCGCACTCCGCATCGAGTGTGTCTCAACCTTCCAACCACATCAAACGAGACATGCATTGCATTTCTTCAGTCGTGCGACACTAAACCAAACCATGCTCTCTAAACTATTTCTGCTACCACCCAAGAAGCAGTGATAGAACTTAACAAATGCATCAGCACGCATGTCCCATCACTTCTTCGGCCAAAGATTATTCTACCTTCACCATCGCCAGGGTCCTAAAAGTAATTTGAGCGGCTACCGCTGTCCGCGGCATTCCACGGTCACAGCGGATACATTGCCTTCTCCCGACCATATTCTGACATCGAAAGGAAGAGCCTTGCCGTAGTGGTGTATTGCCCCTTTACACTGCTTGAAAAGAAAGTTTCCCTTTGCTTGTCATAACACGCAGGGGTGCACTTGATCGTCGCTAATGAGCATCACATATCGACATAGAATCACTTGGGTCGTTTGGCAATCCTCTCCCTTGGGTTCGAAACCAGCAGCACAACAAGAACACTATGGGCCCATCAGCCGCGTTCGCAATGGTCCGGGGACAGTTCGTATCTAGCAAGGAAAATGATGTTGGGTTCTTCCTCCTCTCGTACGGATACGAGCAGGGATACTTGCAGCCGCACGGTCTTCCCGCCTGATGGTTGCGCGTCAGCAAAATGAGTTGGAAGTCCAATGAAGTCGGGGAGACCTGTGAATAAGCTCACCTAGCGGTCTTTGACGAAGCGGGTGCTTGAACAGAGCGCAGTAATTTTTTATGTATCCAAGTCTGATGGGCGTCAGATTCCAGTAAGCCCTAGTTGAGAATAGACCCCGGAACACTTCGGTAAACGTTCCGGTGAACATAGACAACCTCACATATAGTCGGCAAACATATCCCGAGGAAAGGCAGTCACGGCCGAAGAGTGGCTATGACCTCATAACGCTAGCCAGCATCCACGGATCTCGAATGCGCGGAACCAAACGAAACATTTATGTGGTCCTCCTATATCTCTTGAGTCGTATGTCTGGAGGCGGGCACTCTGGACGAACCATGGGTTCGATCTCACGGTTGAGAGTTCAACTTGTTTGAGGCTTGCGTGGCCGGGCATCTTCCCCCTTTTCTTGTCAAGCATATCCAAGTATTGGATTATGCGATGCTCTTTGTTGCGTCTATTCCCTACGAAGTAATCGTTATCATTGCGTGATACTCTCGAATGATGGACGTCTCTTGGAGTGCAGTTGACCAACGCATCTTCATATTCTGATACGCGATTTGCTTGCCGTCAAGTCGCCGGCTGAGTCCTTGATTGCTCTCCAATGATGACTGCAACAAAGGGTAAGAAGCCTTGCAACTTGAAGCGGATGTCTTAAGTCCGAAGGCTAGATTTGAGGAAAGGGTCAAGAGAGAGCCTTATTCTGGGGCTCGATCCGAGATATCACGTCCTCTGAAGCTCGCGGATGGACGGGCGGGTGGGCAGTCATACCGTCTCCAAAAGTTTATTCGCATGGCGAAGTTTAATCATGAGAGCCGTCGGTTGATCGGACGCATTATCTGACATCCGGCTCTTGCGAGTCCTTTCTTGGCTGGTTTGAAGCCCATCTTCGTTGCTCGGTCGTGGTTCTCCTCGATCACCCAGCCACCCTCACCAGCCCTGTATGTCTCTTCTTCCCTGACCTACCTGAAGGGAATGGTATACGGATGTTCCATCCCAACTCTGCATCCCTCCTTTGGATTCCCGAGGCGAGCGTGAATGATGAGGACGTTATCCCCCCTCCATCCTTTCCTATTACTCTGGGACTTTATTCAACATCATGCGTGATTGGGATTTTGTGTTGATGGTGCCGAATATGATGTTCCTCTCAGTAGATTCCCATCTGATATAGGGAGGGCGGTTTTCGTCCGCCAAGGAACTGCCAACATCCATACGATATTTGTTCGCGAGAGAATCGTAAGTACCCATTCGATCTGTGAACTTCTACAAGTTCCGTTGGTCTTGGTACGCTTGGCTCTTCCGGTATCCGAGGTTTCTTGTCCGGGCCAAGCTCTTCGGAAACACGGCGAGCGAAGAAAAGCCTCGTGAGGAGAGCATCTAGATCTTGGCTTGTTCTCAGTTCAAGGTTTGTCCGCCTTGAATCTGCAGAGCTGAGGAAATCTCCGGAGAGGTGTAGAGCTGATAAGGCTGGTGGGTGGGCTTGCTTACTGGAGGTATCCAAGGGCCCGTGTTGTCCAAGGAGCGGTAGTGTTGATGCCGAGGGCGGTGGCACTGCTGATTGATCCAAGATAGCTGTTTTTCGCGGTGTTTCTGACATTCTGGTGGCGATGGAATTAATTGCGAGCTTAGATGGCCTTGCTAAGAAACCATCCTCTAAATACTATTGATAACAGGCTTGCTACATCGACCTTTGCAAAGGTCAACTCCGTGGTAGCCCGGGTTTGGCTCAAAGGGCGGAAACATAAAGGCTTTTGGAGGTCCTTCGGCTGCAGCGTATTGATTCATGGTGAGATTGACGACCGCTAGTGTCGTGATAGTTGAGGATGTTGAATCGAGCGTGTGATTTTCCCTCTCTGGTCACCGCGTTTTGTGGTTTGCCTCGTGTTCGTCGAGGTTTTTCGAGGCTCGGGGCGTTTCTGTCGTCCTTTAGGGTGTTTGAGATTGGTATCTCTGAGAAAAAAGATGAAGAATTTGTCGTATGATAGAGCCTTGAGTTCATATCTTGTGGGAATAGGGGCGCTTTCCTACTTCTATACACGTATTGTCTTCTTCTCCATTAGTTCTACCGCTGTGCGGAGTGGCGGTACCTTCTAGTACGTGAGTTGATTCATAGAGAAACTGGGCCATTCGAACTCACCTTTCCGAATGCCAGATATCGGGTCAAGTCACCGTGGAAATCAAGGGGCATATAAAGGTTTTCATAGTATCTCAAGCCGGCAGGGAAAATGTTCTTCCCGTCTCCGACCTGATCTTGTGAGCCTGAAAGTTAGTTCTCAACAGCACTATCGTAACTAGTTTTACTTCCGATTTGTCATAGATCATAATTACGTTCACACAGAGAACAAAAGAGCCGGATCAAAAGGTAGCCAGGTGTTCCGAGGGTAGTAAAACATGCGTGTCGATCCACATCAGCATCAGAACAGATGTGTGTAGTCTGGGTATCCGATGTGATGCAACGCAGAATTCTTACTCTTCCCGATCTCAAGAGTCTTTTATAGCATTCTCTTCGCCGAGTGAAGAGCCACAGATCAATGACACTGGGGAGGGAGGCAGAGGGAAGGAAGATACGCATGAAGAGGAAACTTGTAGGAGAGGCAGGTAATCACTGGTCCATACAAGTGCTCAGCCAAGGGGGATAATTGTTTCTTGATAAAAAAAATAACATTCACAATTGCTTTGTGTTACAACCACTGGCAGGTTCCTTTGCGGTAAGGACCAGGACGATTGGAACTCAACCTCTGACTGGCAGTTTTCCCAGGCAGACATGGTCAAAATTACTTTTACATCGTCACACCTCGTCAGCCTGGTGTAAGAACTCCCGGCATCTTCCAACTCCGTTGAGTATCGTCTACCGGGCAGTAGTCTCT